CCACTTGCTGGAAACCTACCTTGATTAATATGAATTAATTATTGCTTTTCTTTTCCATTCTAAGGTATTTATTTCTATCATACTTATTTGCACATGTTTTATGGTACTAAACAGAGTTTCCTCTCCCCACCCCACCCCATTAAGACCACCCCAAAATACTTCAAGTCAAGTTAAGGAGTTACATACTTTAAAAATCTGATTAAGGGCCCAGCTGATGTGGCTTAGTGTTTGAGCATCAACCCATGCACCAAGAGGTCACCATTTCGATTCCGGGTCAGGGCACATGCCCAGGTTGTGGGCCAAATCCCCAGTGGGGGGCATGCAGGAGGTGGCCAGTCGATGTTCTCTCTCATTGATGTTTCTCTCTTTCCCTCTCCCTTCCTCTTTCTCTAAAATCAATAAAGAGCCCTGGCAGGTTTGGCCCAGCGGTTGGAGCATCAGCCTGAGGACCAGAGTCCTGGGTTCGGTTCCCACTAGGAGCACGTACCAAAAAAAAAAAAAAAAAAAAAATCAATAAAAAAATTTAAAAATCTGATTAAGGGGTAGAAAAAAGAGTATCAGCCATTTCTCCCATGGACAGCTCTGCCACAGACCTCAATGTGAGAACTGCTCGTGCTTGGTTTTTTTTTTTTAATTTATTTATTTATTTTTCATCCTCACCCGAGGACATTTTTCCATTTTTTACTCAGATAGAGCGGGAAGGAGAGAGAGGAAGAGAGAGAAACATCGATGTGAAAGGGACACATCGAGTGGCCGCCACCCACACAACCCAACCAGGGCCGGGGACAAACTGCAGCCAAGGTACATGCCCTTAGCGGGAACCGAACCCGGGTCTCCGTGGACCGCAGGCTGACGCTCTAACCGCTGAGCCAAACCGGCCAGGGCTTGTGCTTGGTTTTTAGAAACTGTGAACCTGTGGTGTTCTGATTATCCTGATACTGGATTTTCTTTTTTCTTTCTTTTTTTTTTTTTTTTTTGCTACTGTGAGTCATTTGCCTTTGAGATTCTAGACAGACTTAAGAGGAAAATAACTCAAAACATTTTGCCCCTCCACACCCACAAAAAACTTTTCCCCCAGAGTTACATGCCCAAACATGACATTCACATCTATTCACAAAACTAAAATGCTTCATTACCCCAAGCTAAAAATAAAAACTGCCTACAAAATTTGTCTCAAATTCATTTTTTTCCCTCAAATTGATTAAAACTATAAACCTGGTCATCTACCATTCCTCCAGACCTTGGAAATCTGCCCTCAAAAGCCTCAGACAAGATGCCGGGAAAAATAAGCCTGGCTCTAGCTGAGTCGCTCGGTTGGAGCACCGTCTGGATGCAACAGCATTGCGGATTCAATCCCTGGTCAGGGTACATGCAGGGATAAACCAATGAGTGCATGGATGGGTGGAGCAACAAATTGATGTTTGTCTCTGTGTGTGTGTCTCTATCCCTTCCTCTCTGTCTCTCAAATCAATAAATAATTTAAAAAGAAAAAGAACCCTGAAAAGGAGAAACCTGCAACACTTGGAAGTCGGCTTACATTCCATAATAAAACCCTTCCGCTTAAGTACACAACTACCCTATTACCATTAGTAAAGTAAAGGTAACCATACTCAATTTACCAAGGCTGACCTCCCGGACTTTTACCACACTGGAACGCTGCTCTTGGCTCCTCTATCCATCTTCCACACCTAAGAAGATAGTCTTTAAAACCACCAGAAAGCTTTCTGAATGCAGCAACTCCTTCCTTCCAGTATCTCACCCCATTCTCCTCACTCCACCCCAATGCTTCTCCTTTCTAGCTTTGCCTTCAACTAACCTACTAAGCTATTTATTTGCCTGAGGCAGCTTTTCTTCATTCTTTCACTTCCACGCCCCTGAGATGGAGAAATTCTGAACTTGCTCTGGATTTTTTTTTTTTTTTTTTGCAGACTTAAGGTATTATTATTATTTTTTCTTTCTTGCCCATCAGGCACAGAGTCCTGGGTTTGTGCAACTTTGTTGTCTGCCTGTGGATCACTGATTGACTGGGCTAATGCCAGCGGGTTCTTAAGATCCCAAGGGATAGACTGGGTGGCATTTTCACCCACACCCTGAGATTCCTCTTAATTGCATTGGTGCTCACGTACCTATGTGGAAAATACTTGTGGACTGTCAGGCTTGGGGTTAATTGGTTTCAGTTTACGTCTTAGGGGAGCAGAGTCCTAGTGCACATGCAGCCCTGGTACAAGTGGCCGAACCAGCTTTACTCCAAGAGGAGTGGCGTCCTGAAAGAAAGCAATTCCTTTTACTCCACCCCTTTCATACACCGCCTCCATCTCCTGCCAGATAGAACAGATGAAATCTAAGATTACAAGTTTTCAAACTCAATTAATTGTTCATTAATACCCAGGAGTGGCAGATATATGGTGCTTCCCTTTTCATGGCAGGTCAAAGATGAAATTTGATTATGCTTTGAAGGTTGTGGTTTGCCTCTTGAAATTCCTTGCTGTATCTTTATCAGTGTTGAGTTGCCCAGAGCAGCCCAAAGTGCCCTTACTTAACCAAGGGAGGCGCACTTGTCTGCATATATAGAGACAGGAGCTAACACTGGGAGAAGTCAAACCTGCCTTCACCATGAAGAAGCAGCGTAAGACCGAGGCAGCACCACACTGTGAGCTAAGTAAGTAACTAGCAAGGAAAGTTGCCAGCTGAGCCGACCTGGAAGGGCAACAAGAATGGCTCCAGCCATTTTATTTTCTAGTTACAGCAGAGGTTCCCAAAGGAAAGGATCTGGTTTGGAGGGGCTTCCTGAAACTACCCAGATTATAGAGAGATTTTCAGGACTAATTTGTGCATTTTCTTTTTCCTTCAGGAGAAAGTCTGTATGCAAACGAGCCTGTACCAGATAACTGACGATGCTCAGCGCAGTTTTTTGGTCCCTGAGTTTTCTACTTTGTACTTTATTTGATTTTTTTTTTTGCAATACATGCTCCTTTTTTCCTCTCTTGGATTTCCTTTACTAACTAGTGAAATTTTCTCCTAGCAGTTTTTACATGAAGAAAGAAGTTGGAAGGGTTTATGCTTTCCCTCTCCAGGTTTACGATTTGCTTTAAAAAGCTTGTTTTTTTGTTTTGTTTTGTTTTAAATATAAGGGGGGGAGGGTGTTTAAGAATGTTTCTATAGCTCTAAACAACAGTGTAGAAAATTAGGGTGGTTTGTCAGACCATTTGTTTTCTCCCCTCTGTAGCACTAGTCTGACTGCCATCTTCAGAGAAAGACTCCAGGGTGTGAGGTTGAGCCTGGGGATGGAGTGGGATTATTTTGGGGTAGGTGGAGATAAAGCTTGGGGGAAGAAGCGAGGGCGATGGGTAGAATGGAGGGAAATGATTCATTACCAAGGCTTGGGAGTAAGGCATCTGATGCGGTCGGACTGGTTGCACTAGCTGATGTTTCGTGGTTCCTCTCAGGCGTGGGGTGCTCTTGGTGGGGAACAGATACTATGATATGGCTCTGGAGACGAGAGGAAATGGTCTTGTAGGGAGCTATACTTTATAGGGTGGAGCTGTACTTCGGCGAGCCACGTCTCCAGAAGAAACGAGCTTGATTGTCAGTAGCTAACACGAGGACACGGTGAACTACTGCACGAAACTTACCTGTTTACGCGGTTGGAACCTCCAAATACACACTCCGTGGGCTGGACCAGCGCAAGCACCTGCTCCGTAGGATGCAGCTGCAACCTGCAGCTGCGCCCTGGCCTCTGGCGCCCCGCCCCGCCCCACCCCTGATCTCGGGGTGGGCGGAGCCTCGGCACTCGCAGTCGGGTTGCCACGCGCGCCGGCCGCTACCGGGAATACGAGAATCCAGCCAATAGGAATGTGTGGTTGTTGTCCTGTCGGCCAATGGCGGGGCGGATAGGAGTAGGGTGGCTTGGCGCTGGCTCCAGAGCTATGGAGCCACAGGCGCGGGGACCGCTGGTCAGGTGGCTGCGGAGCTGGTAAGGCGAGGAGTAGGCGAGGTCAAGGGTCAAACGGGCGCGCCGTTTCCCCCAGACTGGCCGGGAGGGCGTAGGGCAGCTGGAGGGCCGGCCGGGGAGAAGGCGCCGGGGCCAGTACTGGGCGCGAAGGGCGCTCTGCGGGGCTGCGAGGACGGTGCGGACAGGGAGGGCCCGAGCAGCGGGGGTCCAGATGGAGCTGCTTTATTCCAAGGGAGAAGAGGGCACCGGGAGTGGAGTGCGGGGGTGGGCGGGGAGCAAACGCCAGAGTTCGCCGGGCCTCGTCCCTTTCCTCCCGCGGCCCGGGAGAGGTGGCTGAACCCCTGGCTGGACCTGCGGCTGCGCGGGCTCCCGGGATCGAGGGTGCGCTGACCCGTTTTTCCGCCGCGGGACGGGCCGACGGGCCCAGGGCACGGTCCTGGTGGCCTCCTTAACCGCGGAGTCCCGGGGCCCCGTCCGCTCCCTGGGCTCCCCACTTAACCAAACGTGCCTTTTTGTGCAGCCCACAAACAGCGCCTTCCTGTGCAAGGCCTGGGCAGGCCGCTGCGTACGGTGGAGCTTGGCTGGGGCCTGTTTGTGCCATTAGTGCATATGGTGTGTCCGTGGGGTGGACGCTCTTCAGCTGTTCGGCTTCATGCCACTCGTTTTAAAGCTATCGCTTACTTTTCGGTATATCGCCTTTGAATTCCTTTTCACGTTTGGTTTTCCCAAACTCCCTACCTTATATATCAGACTGTTTCAAAGAGCATCATTAGGGGAGAAGCTGAGGAACCTGGGCTTGAGTTTCCTGTGTGTGAAATGAAGCTGTTCTCTTATTGTCCACTGCTTTCAAAGGAGTGTTATGAAATTCAAGGAATGTGACATCTCTTTAAAGTAGAAAGTTAAAGCAAAAATTAGATGGAGGGGGCGGCAAGGGGACATAGGCTTCTGGAAACTTTTGCTGGCAATACTTTCAGTGAGTATAAGTGAAACCATGGGACACTGTTTACCTTGACTCCTGCGGAATCTGAAGCATTACCAGTTTGCACCACGTTTTGGCAGTGTAAACCTTGGAGTAAGTTGATTAGCCTCTTTGTTCTTTTGTTTCCACATACTTAAAATGGGGATTGATGATAATATCAATTTTATGGTGTTGGTGAGTATTAAATGAGTTCATACCCACGAAGTGCTCAGAACTCTTTCTGGCATGTGGGAGTATTTTTATTTTATTTTTATTTTTTTATTTTTTATCCTCACCCGAGGACATTTTTCCATTTTTTGTTCAGATAGAGCGGGAGGGGGAGAGAGGAAGAGAGAGAGAGAGAAACATCGATGTGAAGGGACACATTGAGTGGCTGCCACCCACACGACCAACCAGGGCTGGAGACAGACTGCAACCGAGGTACATGCCCTTAGCGGGAACCGAACCCGGGTCTCTCTGTACCGCAGGCCGACGCTCCAACCGCTGAGCCAAACCGGCCAGGGCATGTGGGAGTATTTTTTAAATTTTCCCTACATAAGCCTTCTTTCCCTTAAAGATTCCACATTTAACAATTCTAATCTTATTACTTAACCTTTGCTCAGAATCCTGTTAGCTTATTCCAGTGAACCCTTGTCATTAATGTTGATCTGAGTGTAAAGTATCAGTTATGGGTGACTAGAGGCTTTCTGTTGGGTGTTTATTTTATCATTAAATAAGTTTAGAAATTATCACTATACTAGGTCTGTCTGTGAAAGAGCTGTGTTGGATAAATGAAACCTGAGAAATCCTTTGGCTGTTTAGTTTTTCATTGGATAAGATTGCATTTACAGCCATGGGGCCTAGGCACAGTTTATTTTGGACCCAATACCAAAAGTCCATGATTGCAGCATACTTGATTTCTCATGCTTCCGGAATGGCCAAGTTGGGACTGGGGAGGGGAATTTCTGGGCATCCTGGCAGCACTTCTTGTTAATGAATGGGGAAACTTGGTATGAATCTAATATTCTGCTGTTAGGAAATCCGCCTGTTCCTTGGATTACTCTACAGAGGTACTAAGCAGCTTTGGTTCAGTTTTAACTCAGTGAAGTGAAGGTCCGAGGTTAGAGAATGGTATCCACAAAGTAATAGCTTTTCTGTTTGACTTTTAATGCTAATAGTTTGGGTAGGTGCTGTGGAATCAAAGACATCTTTATTCCCTGTCTCCTCACCATGTACCTAAATACAAATGTGTGATGACAGATTTATGCCCTTTCTATGAACTTCAAAGTCCCTCTCAACCAATGGAGCCACACTGACCAGGGCATATAAGCTATATTTTAGTAAAATTAGAGTAGAATATAAGAGTTGGCTAGGAACGATAAAAATATTTATTGTCTAATTCCTCTTCTCTTTTAATTTAAGGTTAGAGTAACTTACATTTTCCTAGTGTAAGAACCAATTTCCAGTGAAGAGGGAGTTAGAGTTTTCAGTCTGTGTGTCTATTGCTAGTAGGTCATCTTGTATGGGTTTTATTTGTTTTGGTTCCACTTATCACTGATAATCGAGTGTCTGTTAAAACTCCAAGGTAATGAAAGAAGAAGGCTACATGTTAAAATTTTAACAGGTTCCAAAGAGCAGAAAGAGACATGTATGGAGCTGGAGAGTCTTGTAGTATGTATTGTCTGTCTTTGCATATAATTTTACTTTGCTTTAAGAAAAGAAACGTTGAGGAAAACTTAAAATTGCTAAGGCCAGTGTACACCAGGGGAGCCAATACTGTCATTAGAATAAATGAGTTGAATGCAATCTAATGATAATCATTTTTCATATTTGCCAGAGAAAAAACTACTTAAGCAAGTATGACGGCATAACCCGCCCCCGCCCAGAAGTAGGCATAGACTGATTTATAGACTTTATTATTTCAGTATAAAAAGGGTCTTTGAAATTGTTCGCAGAGCTTGGAGTTGTATTCTAGGATAGATGTGTCAGGCCAGGAGTCCAGGTCCGTCCCCCAAAGGGTAATGCACTGCTGTAAATCTCTGGTTAGGAGGCAATTAGAGGAAGCTCACACTATACGAGTTGGGAGGAACAAAGACCAAATTGTAGTCTCTGAAAGACTTTAATGAGCAGTAAAGGTTTTTGGGAGCTGGTTAAGCCTCAGAGCACTGAGCAGAGAAAGTGAAGAGTTCCATTTAGCAGGTATCAGGCCCTTCTAATTCTGAAGTCTCTGGTTGATGAGTGATATTTTTGTCTAAAAGATCCTTCTTGACAGCCTGGCCCCATTTCTCCAACTGTTATCGTCTTTCACACCCAAACAGCAGGTTTCATTATCAGATGTACTCTTTCTCTTCATATCTTACTCGCTCTTTCCTTTTGCTAATTAATTTTCTCTTTTCCTTTTTTTTTTTATCTCATTAGATGTTCTCAATGTCAGGTTTTTCTTTCAACTATAAAACAGATTCCTGAAAGTCCAACTTAGGTGAAAAACAGCAAACTTGATGTTGAGTTAAAATTGTGGTTTTCTGATAGACTATGGCCCACAAAGTCAGTAAAATGAAGAACAGTCTAAGCTGGTATTTCAATGGCCAGTGTGTGTGTGTGTGTGTGTGTGTGTGAGAGAGAGAGAGAGAGAGACTGACACACAGATGCCCTGAGAGAGAGAGAGAGAGAGAGAGAGAGAGACTGACACACAGATGCCCTGATGTGTATTAAGCACCTTGTACAATAGCAGCACTGTTTGAACTTTATGAACTGGGCGTGCTTGTGTGGCTTTCGGTTGAAAACATTCTGATATTACCTACTTAAGTAGAGAGGAACAGTTTCTAGGCCTTTTTCTTAAACTAACACCAGAGGGGCTTTTTACTTTGTTCTTTCTTTCTGTCAGGAAGTAGATGCCATCAGTCTTCAACTTGTCCTTTTTTTTTTTTTTTTTCCATTTTATATAGAATTTATTTTCATAAGAGAAAAACAGGATATAATTACCCAAATTTAAAAAAATAATTCTAAACATCACATGCTCAAGAATAATTTAGAAATTCACATGGCTTTTCTAAGCTGTTTCCCTTCAGCCCCAGAGGGTGCACATCGAGTTTCAGAACTAATTAGATGGATGTCCTAGATGGAAAAGACTCAGAAAGTGGTATGTCTTCATTGACCTGGAATGGAACAACAGAGGAAGTAATATTTCACTAAAAAGAAAAGTATCTAGTCCTGGCCAGTTTAGCTCAGCAGTTAGAGCATTGGCCCACAGACCAAAGGGTCTCAGGTTCAGTTTCGGTCAAGGGTAATACCTGGGTTTTGGGTTCAGTTGTCGGCCCTCGTTGGGGTCGTGTGGGAGGCAACCAGTCAATTTCTCTCTCTCAAATCCAATGTTTTTCCCTCTCTCTCTCCCTTCTGCTCTCTCTCAAAATCAATGGGAAAACATCCTCGGGTGAGGATTAAAAAAAGAAAAGTAGCTAGTAATTTTCATTATTAAAACACATAGGCCCTGGCTGGTTTGGCTCAGCAGTTAGAATGTCAGCCTGTGGTCCAGAGAGACCCAGGTTTGGTTCCCGCTAAGGGCACGTACCTTGGTTGCAGTTTGTCCCCGGCCCTGGTTGGGTTGTGCGGGAGGCAGCCACTCAATGTGTCCCTTTCACGTCAATGTTTCTCTCTCTCTCTCTCTCTCTCTCTCTCTCCCCCTCTCTCCCTCCCACTCTGTCTGAGCAAAAAGTGGAAAAATGTCCTTGAGTGAGGATAAAAAATTTAAAAAACAAACAAAACACATAGGGTTCAGGTCTAGCCAATTTGGATCAGTGATTAGAGCATTGGCCCGTGGACCGAAGGGTCACGGGTTCGATTCTTGGTCAAGGGCACCTGCCTTGGTTGCAGGTTTTTGTTTTTTGTTTTTTTTTTTTTATCCTCACCCGAGGACATTTTTCCATTTTTTGTTCAGGTAGAGTGGGAGGGAGAGAGAGGAACAGAGAGAGAGAGAGAGAGAGAAACATCGATGTGAAAGGAACACATCGAGTGGCTGCCACCCGCACAACCGACCAGGGCCGGGGACATGGCAACCGAGGTACGCGCCCTTAGCGGGAACCGAACCCGGGTCTCTCAGGACCGCAGGCCGACACTCTAACCGCTGAGCCAAACCGGCCAGGGCTTGGTTGCAGGTTTGATCCCTGGACCCAATCAGGGTCATGTGGGAGGCAACCAATTGATATTAGTCTCTCTCCCATCGATGTTTCTCTCTCTCTGTCTCCCTCCCTCCCTTCCACTCTATCTAAAAAAATCAACAGAAAAAGATCCTCAAGTGAGGATTAACAACAACAAAACCACATAAGGTTCAGAAAATAATGAGCTCTGTTTGAACTACTTGAATATTTCAGAGTTTTGTTGACTTCTAATCATCCAGGAGTAGGAGCACACCTTCATAAAGAACATCTTGTACAACATAGGGGTTAGATTAATAGTAATGGTTTTGTAGGAATATCAAGTAGAGCTTTAGGGAAAAGGACATTTTAGAACGATCTGGAAATCTTTACCTTTTCTTCAGGACACAAAATGAATTTTAAAAAGTATACCTTGCCCGGCTGGTGTGGCTCAGTTGGTTGAGCGTCAACCCATGCACCAAGAGGTCACTGGTTCAATTCTAGTCAGGGCACATGCCCAGGTTTCAGGCTCAATCCCCCATGAGGGGCTTGCAGGAGGCAGCCAACGGATGTTTTTATCTCTCTCTCCCTCTCCCTTCCTCTATCTCTAAAATCAATAAAAAATATATATATTATTTAAAAAGTCATAACTCCTTACTATTTTCTAAAACCCTGGGGTATCACTTTTCAAAGCCTTGATCTGTGCCTCTGGCAGTTTCTACTTTGTCACCAGCATGTTGCTGGCACTGAACATTGTCTGAGGGAGGCATCAAGAGGGAGTCAACTTCAAACATTCCTGTTCATATTTATTTAATCAATTCCTTCCGTGTAAACACCTTTCTGTTTGCTTCTGTGAAAGTTTTTTTTGTACTTCAGTGATTTTCAACCTTTTTCATTCTATGGCACACATAAACTAATTCCTAAAATTCTGTAGCATACCAAAATACATATTTTTTTGCCAATCTGACAAAAAAAAATAGGTAT